CATGCATAAAACTGCTAAGTACTTGAAGTGTGGCTAGTTTGAATTGTGCTATAAGTTTCAAAAACATAGAAGTTTCTAGACTAAACTACTTCCAATTTCCCTCCACCCAATCCCTGGTAACCACACACACACAGAGACTTATCTTTCATGAGTAACCCAACCAGTTATTGAAGTCTATATGAACCATACTGATACATACTAATATATCTTTCTAATTATATAAAGTGAATTATGACATAAATCTAAACTATAATGACAAATCCTAACTCTGAACATCACAGGTCAATTATGTAATTAATTTATGTGATTTCTTTGCTGTTGGAGTAGAATTTTTAAGTATGTCTTTTATCAACTAATAAATCAAGGTAGTATGAAATGGCAAATAAAAAGCTTCCATTTGTCTTGAATAAAGAATAATTCACTTTTACTTGAAAATTTAAAAATAATGGATTGGGAGAATAAGGATCCCATCTGTTACATGATTTCCAGTCAGCCGTGACAATTGCACATCAGAAACATATTGAAATATCAACTTTACATCTTGCATTTACAGAAATTGAAGCATAAAATAGTTTAAGAGCCAGAAAATGTAATAACCATTTGTCAGAGAAAACAGGAGTATAAACTGGAGACACAGAGATTAGAATGGAGAAAACAAATATTGGAATGAAATGAAATTAATGTAACAACTCAAGCATAAAAAATAGCACAGAGGAGAAAAACATGACGTTTTAAAGGATTACTAAGGTCTGTGAGATTCTATTAAATTTACTTCAGGTTGAGAGTAATTCTAGTAGATTTACTAGGGAAAAATATATAAAGAGCCTTAGTAATACACAATGGAGTAAATAATTAAGGGGTATGAACTATTCTTCTCAAAACAACACTATTCTATGAAGCAGTCTATCAATGATCCTTTGAGTTATTTCATTCATGTGATTTCTATGCTTTTAGAGTAGAATTAAGCTGCTTAACTGACAAAAGACAAATAAGGAAATGGTCAGAATTTATACAAGCTCCACTTAGGGATGTCTCAATAATACAATATCATTATTTGTAATTTATACTATACCATTAGTTGTAATTTAAAACTATTTCAAATGCATATATTATAGATTAATAACATCCTTATGGTATTTAGATGTTGAAGTTACTTTTCTCATATTTTAAAAATCTCATTTATTTCATGTATGTGTTGTACAGCCTGTTTGTAAACTGACGCTCTCTCTTTTAAAGCTAGTGTTAGGAAGAATGTCTGTCTTAGATGTTTCTAAATGGCAAAAAATATAAAAATTAATTGGGAGTGTTTTGTTTTTATTTTTTAAAAATAATTCATATCACTAGATTAGAAAATATCATCAAAAACGTCATCTCTCTCATTTCGACTACCTTGCTAAATACATGTATTTTAAAAATGCACTCACATTACATAGACTGATTTGGAACTTGTTTTGTAGTTTAATAATATATTCTGAAATGCTCTCTGCCATTAACTCTTATTCCACAACATGTTTTGATTACGTGGTTGAACCATAATTAAATTAACCTAAATTTTCCTATCATTCCTACTGTTACAAAAATTATATGCATGTGTCAGCCTTTATTACTCTAAAAAGTAACTGAGATAATAATACTACAAAATAAAAGTTTTTTTCTTAGTTTTTCTTTGTTCTTTTTAGATATACATGACAGTACAGTATATTTTGACATATTATACACACATGGAGTATAAAAATCGTAATTAGGATCCCATTCTTGTGGTTGAACATGATGTGGAGTTATACTGGTGGTGTATTCATACATGAGCATAGGAAAGTTATGTCAGATTCATTCTATTGTCTTTCCTATTTCCATCCCCTTCCTTCTCCTTTGTCTAATTTAATGAACTTCTACTCTTCCCTCCCCCTACCTTATTGTGTGTTAGCATCAACATATCAGATAACATTCAGCCTTTGATTTTGGGGGACTGGCTAAAAGATTTACTTTGGCTCAAAGTTTTGGAATTTTCAATGCATAATCAATTGGTCCCATTGCTTTGGACCTGTGGCAAGGCAGTACCTCATGGCAGGCCACCTGGCAGAACAAAATACTCACCTCATGGTCAGGAAGTGAAAGAGAAGGAAAAGATCACAGTCTCATAAACCCCCTTGAGGACACACTCCTCGTGACCCAAAGATCGTTCTTGACTTCCTGCCCCCACACTTAAAGTTTCCACCACTTCCTAATAATGCCAAGCTGGGGACCACACTTCTAACACATGGGGCCTTTAGGGGACATTGAAGACCACCAGGGAAGTAGGGAACTCCATCACAGATAACTTTCTGGACATAATCCCAAAAGCACACAGTTATAAAACTTTTGGTATGCACTACCAAATTGTCCTTGCAGATTTTAGTCTAGTAAGATATGAAGGTATCTATTTCATCATTCTCCTGCATTTTAAAGTAAGATCAAAAAGTACCTAACACTGTGCCTGCATAGAGAGTAGTATCATATGAAATTTGGTTCTCTTTCTGTTCCATTCTCATTTAGGGGGAGATTTTCACATTTTACATGTAAGTAGATATGGACCATTGGTTATTTGGGCATTTAATGCATTTAAAGTAGTAAGACTTTTAAATAAGTGTGTTTTCTTAATGTTTACACTGAATCACAGGAATGCACATAGTCCATTCCATTCCCAAATCTTCATGAAATGAAATCAAACATCTTAAATTAATTGCACTGGGAAGTTTTACCTTGTAAACCTAATCCCATTATGTATAGGAAAGTGAAAGGATTTAGTCACCACTCTTGGTTGTCTGTGTATTAACAACTGAGCTTCTCAGGTTCCTACATGGAAATCAATTTTCCAAATATTTTGAATCACATTGAATCGGTTTCATGTGAAGGCCCTAGAGATGTAAAATCAAAGTTCAAAACAACAGGATCCACAATGCCAAGCCTTAACAAAACTAACTTCCCATTCACTTTAAAAAGCTAGAAAAAGTTTTAAAAACAAACAAATGTTTGTTGTTTTTTGGTGCAAGGTATCTTGATAGCAGCAAACACACAGCTAACTGTGAATGGCACAAGATCATGGCAAGGACTTCTAAAAAAAAAAAAAAAAAAAACACCTCACAACTAAAGAGATTGGGAGATCTATTGGAGGATCTATTTAAAATTCCTTCCACCTTAAAATCCTTCCTCCTTTCAAACTGAAATAGCCATCTATTACCAAGAGAATATATTGTTTTCCCTAAGGGGAAAAAAGAAGCATAAGAAAGAAACTTGTCACTGAAAACTTATAAAGAATTAAGGTCCTTGGCCTTATATAGCACAAGATAAATATAAAGAAAACCCTCACACATAAACTAATGAAAAAAAAATAGTGAATACTTTCACAGCATGTAGTGGCCCAACAATGGTGTGATTGTCCATATCTATATTCTCTGAAAGCTATAGGTATTTTCACTGGCTTTGGCATTTTCTAGTAAGATCAGAGTTTTCCATTATGCCATTTCACAAAAATAAGCCACAGATGATCTTTAAATTAAACTTCTCATTTATCTACTCTAAAGATACTACTTTTGGGTGTTTAGGAATTTTTTGAAAATTCTTCCTTTGAAAGACAAAATAATCATCATGTTAATTTTCTGTTTCCAAGGGGTTAGTTTCTTTTAAAATAGCACTGTGGTATTTATTGTATGCATTTACTAACCATGAAAACAGAAAGCCCAAGTTTTCTTCTATCCAGCACGCTGTAAAAAATATCAGTGCTTCCCAACAATGTCCACAGGGTTGTTTTTCTTGTTTGCTGTGTTTTTCCTGTTGTTTCCTTTCACTTTCAGGAACCAGTAATTTAAGGGTATTTTAAACTCTGAAGTCAATGGTAGAAGCTTCCTTTAATAATAATATAATCATAGCATGTTAATTCATTTCTTGTAGCTATCATAATCCATGGTTTCAAGATGAATTTTTAAGGTTGTAAAACAAAGCTAAATGGTGGCTTTAACAGAAATATTTATTGTTAGAAGATAACAGATTCACTTTATACTTAAAATTTTATTCTTAGCATTAATACCATTTCCTTGTTCATATTATCTTCTTTCCAAACCTCCTTTAAAAAGCAGTGGAGATGAATGGTTGTTTTATGAAGCCTTAAAATTCTCAGAAGTGCTTTATCTTTTTATTGGAGCATCTATCACTGGTATAATTTTCATCCTGTATGGGCTTTTCATTTTGTACAAATTATTTACATTGAATTCAATTAATTTTATGATCTTCTCCAAATTATGACAAGCATATACAGTACCTAATATTTTTCTATAAAACTGCCTTGCCTGCTCTTTAAAGCATTAACTAAGATTGTCAGCTTGCTGAGCCTGATGCATACAAAACTATTTTTCTGGCTATTAGGTGCTCAGGACAGTCAGTTCCCAAACATTTCAGCACACTGAGGTTACATATGTGATGGTTTTAAGTGGATTCTAATGTTTCTTAACCTGATAAAATGCTATTAATCCTTTGTAGCCACTTTCTAAAAAGTACTTCGTGTGCTGAAAACAAGTTCAGAAATGCAAAGCAATTTTATGTGTAACAATATTATCCTCACATCAGCATAAATTAATTTCTTTCAATAAAAGTGTTGGTGAAACCCTGTGAGGGAAATCAAACATAATTGCTTATGCTCTGTGAGTTGAAGAATAAAGACGAACTCATTGCTTATGTTCTTGTAATTTGAATTATCTGATATGGTGATGGTTATACATTATCTTCTCAGATGTTTGATAGTAATTCAGGAGAAATCTGGGATGACCTCAGGATGATCTCTCTAAGTCCAGCTGCTTAACTCTAAATTCCATTTAATAACCGTTTGTGAAATCAGCACATCTCCTCAGAACTCTCCCGTGGGTTGCAAGTGATCAAACAGACAAGGCTATTATGACAGGACTGTTAGATAGGTTTAACAGAAAGGGAACTCTAAAGACACCCATGAGCGACTATGAAACTGCACCCTAGGAAAGCCATATTCTTTATTAAAATCTCCACAAATAACAAAAGCGTCATTGAAAAGTATGTGTGTTTCTCTCGCTATATATAGACTGTTTACATATATACTATTTACACATATTCCAAGTTCTTGGAAAATCATCACAAATTTGTTGGCTTCACATTTTATTACATGGCATATCCCTGAAACATTAAAAAGAACAAAAATATACCCATGCAATTTTCAGATAAAAAGTATCATTTGAACTTCTAATATGTATGTTTTCTTTTAGACTGTTTCCAAGATTTTGCTCATCAGTGTTTCCCAATTTAGGCTTCCTGGCCATGGGAATGACATGTCCTGGGTTATATAAAACTTGGTAGCTTGTCCTGGCAAGAAGCACTGCAGATTTCAAGAGTACCTTGCCTTTTCTGTAGCAAGAGCCAACCTGCGGATGTTGGATATACAACCTGCTGCAGCTTCCTGGAGTTCCTGATCAGGGGACCCAACCATATCCAGTAGCAGCTATCATAGGTAACAGAGGAGGAAGAGAAGAGAAACAAGAATAAAACCGTTAATCTAAAGTCATAACACTAATTTATAAAAATAATTTTAAACAGTAAGTATTTTTAAAAGCCACCGAAAAGAACATAAGAAATTCCATATAGGCAAATGCAAATATAACATGATGCTTTAATCAGATGTAGAATTCATCATGGATGAATTCTTACCTTTTAATTTTTTTGGAGCGGAGCTAGATCATTTCTTTGGGCATTACTAGAATGGGTTCTGCTTCTGAAACTTCTATGGCATTCTTTCTGGCTTTTCCACCTCCCAAGTTAACCAATCATACCACCCCTAGATTCTTACTGCATCCTCTTAGACTTAATCTCTCTGAATTACAGTCCATCTAATCATGCCATTGTCTAATTATATCAATCCCTCAATACCGACTGTCAGTGACTCCCAATGCCAAAAATCTAGAGCCTAAATTATTAACCTGTCGTATTATGACAGGACTGTTAGATGGGCTTAACAGAAAGGGAACACTAAAATAAATAGATAGATAGATAGATAGATAGATAGATAGATAGATATACATACATACATACATACATACATACATAAACAAACATACTCACTCCTTGGAGACTTTGCATACTTAAGCCTCAGTTTGCTTTTCCAGCCATTCATCTTTGTCCTGCCCCTTCATGCACTGCAAGGTCATACTTCCCCATTTAACTTGCCCTTCTTTTTTGCCGTTCCTCTCTCTAAAGTGCCCACCCAACCCTTCTCTTTGTTAACGGAATCCATCTTTGAAAATGTCAACTTTTCCACAAAGCCATCACAGATTTCCTCCATCCAACAAAAATGCCATTTCTTCTTTCTCAGAACTCTTAGGAGTTCATTCCCTTTCTAACAAATATTTGAGTTAATGTTTTTTGTCCCTGAGGTGATAAATGCTTAAACTTTTAAGGTCATATGTTACCTAGAGCACATAGTAGATGCCAAGTAAATGCCAAATTACAATTTTAAAATCTAGCAACTATGATTCTTATTAATAGTTCTGATAAAAGATAAAAAAGATTAATCTGGATAATATATTTTCTATATACTAGTGGTTGAGTACACATATGGGTGATACCAGAAAATGCAGATGACATAAAAAGTAAAGAAATATAATAAAGAGAAATATTGTAAAGTTTCTTAAATATGCCATACGTAGGACTTTGGCTTTTATTCTCTAGTAATAAAAGGAAGTGATTTAAGTACTTTAATCAGGAGAGTGATATCGTCATATTTATGTTCTAGAAAAAGAATTTTTATAGAAACTTATAGATTATGAATTATAGAGTGAAGATACTGAAAGGTAATGCATTACCTTGCTAAATGTGATAAGGATTTAATAAAGGATAAGGATGATGAGGAAGGAAGGAATTCAAGGGCTATTTAACGACTTAGTAACTATTCAATAAATAACCCAAGAAATGTTGATTATACTAATAGAATAAAATAAAAATGGTAATCTCACATTATAATATCAACTCCAGATGGATTAATGAATTAATCCATTAAGTTCCAAGTTTTTAATTCTTCAAACACAATAAATATTTACGTATTATTACCATAAGTGGTTGATTTGTTGTTTAATTTAAGTTTTCATAGGCATTTCACATCTGGAACAAAATGGGTTCAATAAGAAAGGAAAAATGTAAAACATTTAGAAGGTTTTATACAAGAATATCTTGATGAAATTAGGGCATTGAAGGATGTCTGGCTTCTCTGTTACCTGACCTCCTAAATATCACTGATCTTCACCACCCCTCTAACTCCACAGTCATACACCAGTCCTTATTTTCCATCATACCCAAGAGTCCACTTCCAAACTCTCTGACCACTGTGCCTTCCCTTATGATTCGATTATTTAACAATTCTTGTTTGTTCTCATCATGACCATGTACTTTGGCCCATTTATGCTTTTACTATATCAGTCTTTGTTTCATCCACTAACAGCTCAGATTCCATAGTCCATCTCTGCAGTAATTCCCTTACCAGTTTCTTAAACCTTCATAGGACAGCCATCCATTTAATGGTACATAAATCCCACTCGGCCTTCCTCATGTCTCCTCCAATAACTGAGACCTTCCAAAGGCAATATTCAGACAACAGGCAAATAGATCTACTATAAATTCAACAGCAACTACAAAAATCATTGCCCAGCAATCTAAATATGCCTCTCTCTAATTAGGTAACTTTCTCACTCTTTTCAATGACTATTTTAAATCTTATTTGTTTTCTGCAGTCTCTTATGCTTCCATCTGACCCCTGTTCTCAGGAGATGACCTGTAAGGACACCTTCTCAAACTTGATGGAAGCCACCCGACAGGAACTACTCTAACTAAAACTGCCACTCTACAAAGACCTTAACACATCTTTATTGTCTCCTTCCTTGCAGCTATAACAGATGTCTATCTCCTATACAAAGGCTGCTGCTACACCTGTATTTCCCATCCAGTCTCTGTCTCCTTGGAACATTTTAGTACCAAGCATTCCCTTTCTTCTTAATTAACCTTTAACCTCTTCCTTCCTAATAAGTTTTTTTCCATCATCATTTAAATAAATGTACATTTTTTTCCACATTAAGAAAAAACAAAATGACACCATTTTCACCCCCATTTCTTCTTTTCATAGTCAAACTTCTTTTAAGACTTGTCTGGATTTACTATCTCCTGTCTTCAATTCCATTCAACTCACTACAGACTGGCTTCAGCCTTTAGTTTTCCATTGAAATGGCGCTTTGGGAGACCATCAGTAACTTCCATGTTATTAAAAGGAATGGATACTTCTGTGTTTGTATCTCATTTGATTCTTTAACAACATTCGGTATCATTGACTACTTTCTCCTTTTTGGAATATACTTTGTCATTGGATTTTATTTTTTTTTTCTTAGTGCCACACTCAAACCTCTGGCTTCACACATGTTGAGCATGTGCTTTACCACCCACCTAGATCCCCAGCCCTGCCTCTAGCATCTTACACCCTACTCTCCTGGTTTCTTCCTACCCACCTTTCTCTTCTTCTCAACCTTCATCAATGTCTCTATCTCTTCCTCTCATACATAATTTGTTAAAGTTACTCAGAACAATTCCTCTTCTGTTTTCCATTTTGTTCTCTCTCCCTAGATGATTGCTTTTACTACCTAAATTCAAATATCATTCACATGAAACCATCTCTAAATTTATCCTTTACCTCAGAACTTTCTTTCAAATGACACACTACTTATCTAATGCTCCTTAGACATCTCCATTTGGAAGTATAACAGCCATCTCAAACATAATATACTCCAAATGAAACTTAACTTTTTCTATCTAAACATGGGTCCCTCTCATTATTTTTCCATATCAATATCAATAGATATCATCACTTAGGTGTTTAAACAGAAATCCTATCTTATATTCACTTCTACCTTCATCTCTTCTACTGCTTCCCACGAATTACCATATCCTTGTGATCCAATGCCTACATATTTTTAAAGTCATTCATATCTATTGCTCTTGTCACCTCCTGTAAAGTCTATAGCAATTTCCCAGTGTCCTTGCATCTTGTCTTGGGTACTAATTAATTGCCTATAATTTATCATTTATACTGAATCCAAAGTAATTTTCTAAATTATAAAAAGTCACCAATAATAAGTAAAAACCCAAAGAAACAAAAGGGAACAAAATTTGAAAAGTCTTCAACAGAAAGAACCAGCCCTATGTGTCCATGGGAATGTAGGTCAGAATAAGGTTGTTATGTAAATACACACACACATGCACACACACATAATGCACACACATTTAAACACACTTATACACCCACATTCTCTATCTCTCTTTCTCTTCAGGAAGAGGCAATGATAATGGGAAAGAAGAACAGAATAGGCAGCTCTCCTTGGTCTCCCTCTCACATGACAGATATCTTTGTATAGCAACTTACACTTAAGTCTCTTTCCTTAGCTTGTAGCTTTTAACTCATTATACTGCAGTATTTTCATCAATCTACTGGTTTATACCTCACCTGGCTCTAAAGTTTTTAAAGCAGATATTATTATGTTAATTTTAGACTATTTCTGCTAAATATGTATCTCATGTAGTTCTTCCTCTGCTTTAATCATCCTTACACATCTTTTACTGCTTATTTCTGCCCACCTCCACCATGGTAATCCTCCTTGATCTTCAGTACTTAGTGTTACCTGTAAACCTGAAGGCTTCACTCTTCCTCATCATTATTAATCATTAAATATGAGCAGTTTCAGCCTTGATGCCAAAGAAGCCTACTAATAACATATTTCTGTTCCCAGATGTAGTTACTTTTCAATTTCTGCTTTCCAATCTTTAAATTATTTCTTATAGCAGAACAAAATGTTCCAGGACAGGAATTACAGTTTAGTGGTTGAGTATGTTTTAGCATGCACAAGGCCCTGGTTCAATTCCCAGCATGACAAACAAACAAAAACCCCAAAATACTCCAACCAATTTCTTGGTAAGTTATATAAACTCTTGAGGATTTTAAAAACTTACTAGTGATTTTACTTTATATGACTTATTTTCTTCCCAAGTAGATGATTATGAGTCCCCTCACTGATTCCTTTGTTTTATAAAATATAATAGTAAGAATCTCCCAATATTGTAAGTCATTTATTACTATATTAATTTTATTGTGATAGCCAATAAAATTTGAATGAACCTCACAAAAAAAAAAGTCTCAGTTACCTGTAGACTTTTCTTGGCCCTGGATTAGAGGGTCTCGTGTCATACTCAATGTTTGATTTTCACAAGCAAATGGGATGTAGAAATAATCTGTGTGTTAGTCAGCTTTTTGTCTGTGACCAAAATACCTGACAAAAACAACTGTGAGGAAGAAAAGTTTATGGTTTCAGAGGTTCAGTCTATGGTTTGCTCTCTCCATTGCTCTAGGCTGGAGGTAAGGCAGATCATCATGGTGGAAGGGTGTGATACAAGAAAGCTGCTCAGGTCATGACA